CGCATCACTTCTTGCAATAGGTGGCTGCATACGCATCATGATGATGTCCTTATCCAATGCAGTTTCTTGGCTCACCCCTCTCACCAAGACTTGGATACTCAAGGAACTCAAGGAACCCGACAAAAACTCCACAAAATTTTCCCAAACATTAGACATTCACCGTAATGTAGACTCTTGATTCATACCCCCCCCCCGGCGCCTGCCAGTCACTGCTGTGCCACAGCCGGCCCTTGCTGCGGATCCGCCAGGGCACGGGCAGCGCGTCCGCGCAGCGTTCGGGCGCCGCAGTCGTCAGTGGTGTGGCGGAGGTGAGGAGGAGCTCCAAATGGCCTGACTGATTTGGTCACCGGTAGGAGTTCAAGCCATCCGGCGACCGGCAAAGACATCGAAACAAGAGACAGAACGCTCATGTCATTGGGGTCTTCCCTTTCATGCTAGAAACTAGAATAGAAAGACCTTTGGGTGGATCCTCCTGGAGTGGGGACCACAAGGGTTCTTTGCCTGCGCGTTGCGAGCTTTGACAGCGGTGACAGCGACCCGTTGGCTCAAAGCGGTGACAGCGAACCTATTCGTAGGGGGCGACCCCCCCGACCTCTACGTGCGACCCAGGACAGCGGCACATGACCAGCTCAAAAATAGATCTGTTTTCGCTGCAGCCTGACACGTGTGTTTTCCTACACGTGTCTCCATAAAGCATGTCTCCTACGTGTTTTTTCCTACTTGATTCCAAATCTAAAAAGCATGTCTCCATCAAACTGGTTTTACCACGTCTCCTGCCCATGTCTGGCCCCATATCATTAGGGTACACAAATTGCGAGGCGCTGCAATTGCCACAAATCGCTGCTACAAGTCCAAAGATGATATTTTGCCTGCGCGCCCGCACCATGCTCCAAATCTGAAAAAAATAAAGAGAACATCTGCCATTCTGCATTCTAGATGGGAAACTCACATGCCCTTTCATGGCGTTTAAACCACAACTTCGCCCCCAGCACCCCTGGGCTGACGCAGACCTCTCCGGCCCCTCCGCCTCCATCCCAGGCCGAGAAGAACTTGCAGGTCCTCAGGCCGTGTGGCACCTGCGCCAGACATGGAGTGTCAAAGCTCTTCATGCTTCATGGCATATGGACCTTCATGGAGAGGGTTGACCTTCATAGAGATCTACCATGCACCATCAAGTAGTGTAGTGGGCTGGGTAGAATCTCAAGTACAGCGCCGGCACAAGCAGAACTATTTCTGGTAGAGGTTGCCGGTCGCTTCGAAGCTCGGCTGCAAGGACCGCAGGTCTAAGGGTCCAGCGTCTCACTGAGTCCATTTCGAAGGGATGAAGGTCAAAAAAGTCAAAAAAGGTTGTGTTGGAGCCCACTCTCATAAGGACCCCCCCTTATTTAAAAGGAGCGCCCTTTAACACCACCTTCTTTTGCGGCTAGCCATTGTTCTTCCCTTTTCTCGAATGACATCGACCCCTCTCGTCTCCATCTCGCCTTCCTCAAAGCCTCCAGCACCACCGCCATCTGCTCCGCCACGCCTTCGGCTGCCCGAGCCTCCTCGGCCGCCTCTGCCGCCGTGAGCGGTCGCCCCTCGCGGCGCGCGTAGCTGAGCCTCGCGCGCGGAGGAGTTGGAGACCTGGACCAGTTGGGTTCTAGTCTTTTCTGGACTCCCTTGAAGAAGCAAAGCCCCGCCCTAGACATGGAGTGTAAGACCTCTTCATTCTTGGAAAGATGAGCTGAAATATCATCTTAAGAGACCTATACAAAGATCCAAACACTTGCAGAATTGGCCCAAGCTCACCACCGCGGCTGAGAGAAGATTGGCCTGCCATCTTCTTCCACGATCCGAAAGCCACAAGCGCAGCAGTAGGCTCTGGTCCGCTCGGCCGGGCGCACGTGAACTTCACCAGCGCGACCCGCAAGCTGACACGCAGCCCTCAGCTGACGCGGCGATGAAGAGGCAAGTCTGAAATGAGAAGCACCGGTGTTTAAAGATTTCAGACTGACTGTGAAACCCAGATGAAACCGGTGAAACCAAATGCTTGTACTCAGAAGATTCTAGACTACAATACCCCATTGTGACCATTCTTTTCATGGGTCTTATCTAAGGATGTTTCACCTGGACAACGTCGCTGAACACTTTTTTAAACATGGTCGAACAAATGTCCAGGTTGGTACTGGTTCCGTGGTTTCAACTCCCATGAAAAATATGAGTCAGTAGATCCAAGCATGCTGAAGCAAAGGTTGAAACTCGAAATGTCTGAACCCACCACCCAGGTTATTACTCCCCTCTCTCCAACGTCGTGGCCCACCCAACGGGACGTTCTGGCCGCTGGAAGGACCATGGAACATGGCTCCAAACAGGAGGTGTTTACTCCACGGATTCCAACATCTCCCCCAGTCAGCCAACCCGGTTCTCGAACTCGATGGTCGTTCTTCGAGTCGAGAAGACGGAGCGCACGAAAACAAAGAAAGGGGGGAGGCCAGCGACCGAAACGGGTCTCCCAGCGACCGACTCATGGTCAAGTGGATCATTGATCATCGCCCCCAAAAGAGTCACCAGTGCGAATGGTGAACTCACTCACTTTCATCTCCACAAATATCATGGCACCGGTGATCTCCGGAGATCGAGTGTACACCGTGGAACCACGATCTCACGCTCCGGTACCCACTGCCATGCGGGGGGGGCCTCAAAGGCCATGGCCATGGCCATGGGCTGTGGGGAGTCTGGTCGTCCCCCGGCCCTGGACCGGTCGGACGTCGCGACGTCCAGTGAAGGACCCGGAACACCGTGCGTCGTCCGTCCGACGTGGGAGGCGTGGTCTGAGGGCTCCTGTCCAGGCCCATCTCCTCAGGTGGTCTTCGACCCGCCTGGCACCGAAGCGAAACGGAGGTGGGGGGGTTGGAGCCCACCCTATAGGGATCAATCTATG